GAAAACAGCAGATGTAAAGACAAGTGAATTAGATTAAACAAATGTTAAACATGCTTCTGGTAGGGACACTTTTAAGCATATATTCCACTACATAACAACAAGGATAGACATGTGTTCTATACAATGGTTAATACTAAGAAACTTTTCATGGAATTGAAGTTGGAGGATAAGGTCATCTTTCAGTAGTTGGCGGGGCGGGGTTTAATATGACTAAAGTGTTTAAATGGACTGAGAATACCAGATACAATGAAACAAATCAAGTGAGCTGTCAGAGTGGAAACAAACAAACAATGAGAAGGGCAGGGATCTTGTCTTTTTTGTCATTGCATTTCTAGTGACAAGGATAGTACTTGGAGCATAGAGTTGGTCTAATGAGCAATATGGGAGGAAGGGGGTCCAAGATGAATTTAGAAAATAGAGCGGACCAGATTTGCACTACCATATAATTAGGATCAGAATACTTACACTACAGTTTATATAAAGCAAGCTCAAATTTTGGTTTTGGACAATTCACAATGACTAGAGCACTCTAGATATTCAAACTAATTCATTTTTCAGGAAGATTTACCATGAATTTCTGAGTGGCCAAAAAAAGGTACCTGATAGACTTGGATACATTCTTCATTCCTCTGAAATGGCTGCTGCACTGGGGTGTTCAGACCAGTTCACACGTCTCCCCAGGGGCTTTTCCTGCTCATGACTTTGTGTTGCCGCTGGGAATTGGTCATGGTGTGATTGCGTACAATATGAGAGTTAGCAAGTGCTGCAGTTTTTTTCTTTTCCCTTGAGTATCAGTTAAATATTTATCAGCACAACACATACTATCTGCTGTCTTCTGTGTTTATCCTCACTTGGCCCTCCAGCTGATTTTACCAAGACCTTAAAAGCCTTAGCCATCGTACCTGCCATCATCCAGTGTTCAAAAGAGACCAACCTCAGCATATCACAGCAATGCTAGAATTCGTGTCATGAGACACAGATTTCCTTGATGCTATAAAATGCCTATCATTCAGAGTCAAGCCCTGCTAATTCCAGAATCTACTTCATATTAAGTATTGCTTGAGTATTTAGTCCTCATTCATCAAAACTTAGACCCACATATGATCTTATTTTCCCAGGAAATGTGATTAAACCCTCTATTGTCCTTAGTTCTCAGAATCCTAGTTCAACATACGCATATGCATTTGCCTTTCATAGGGCAACATTTCTAGTCAGCTGAATAGAAATTGTCAAGGGGCAGCTCAAGAAGACATCATTAAGATTTAATAAAGGAATGTGCAAAGATCTAGAATTCTAAAACAAAAATAGAACCTACTCAGCATGTTTTAAATGGAAAGAACTGATTAAAAAAGTCAAGCCTAGAGTTGAAATACTGAAAGATTCTATGGCCAAAATATTGAATGGTACAGGTACCATCCCAAGTAGATGGAAAGAATACGGAGGAGTCTGTACCAAAATGAACTAGTAGACATGCCACTATTTTAGAAGGTAGCCTATGAACAAGAACCAGTGACGCTGGAGGAAGGAAGAAGTTCAAGTTGCACTGAAAACATTAACTAAAAAATAAGGCTATCGAAATTGATAGAATTCCAGTTGTAAGCTAATGAAGCACTGGGAGTACTTACTCATCTATTCCAGGAAATTTGGAGTATAACTATGTTGCAAACTCACTGGAAGAGATCCATATTTGTGTCCATTCCAAAGAAAGATGACCCAACAGAATGCTCCAGTTATAGAACAATATCATTGGTATCATATAGAAGTAGCATTTTGCTGAAGATCATCCAACAATGGTTGCAGCAGTACATTGACATGGAGCTGCCATAAGGTCAGGCCAGATGAAGACAAGGCTAGGGAGCCAGGAATAGTATTGCCGATGTCAGACAGATCTTTACTGACAGCAGAAAATACCAGAATTATGCTTACTCATGTTCTATTGACTATGCAAAGGCATTGCATTCAACTGTGTGGATCATAACAAACTATAGACAGCCTTGAGAAGAATAGGAATTCAAGAACACTCGATTGTGATCATGCAGAATTAGTACATGGGTCAAGAGACAATTGTGCAAATAGAACAAGGGAATTTTGCATTGTTCAGAATCAGAAAAGGGTTGAATCCTGTCACCATATCTATTCAATTGGGATGCAGAGCAAAGACTCAGAGAAGTCGGGTTATATGAAGAAGAATATGGCATCCTGTTTGGAAGAAGGCTTCTTAACCACCTGCGATATGCAGGTGACACTGCTTGCTTGCTAACAGGGAGGAGGGCGTGAAGCACTTGCTGATGAAGATCAAGGATGGCAGCCTTCAGTATGGATTGCAACGCAATGTAAAGAAGACCAAACCCTCACATCTGCATCATGATAAATGGAGAAAGGGTAGAAGTTGTCGAGAATTTTGTCTTGCGCGGATCCACAATCAGTGCTCATGGGAGTAGGAGTCAAAAGATCAAAATGTGCTGCATTAGCTACATCTGTGCACAAGAACTCTTTAGAGTATTGAAAGCAAGGATGTTACTTTGAGGACGAGTTTGCACCTGATCCAAGCCATGGTATTTTCAATGACCTCATTTGCATATGAAAGTGCTACACTGAGTAAAGAAGACAGAAGAAGAATTGATGATTTGAATTGGGGTACAAGAGAACAGTATTGAAAATACCATAGACGACTAAAAGGACAAACCAATCTATCTGGGAGGAAATACAGTCAAAGCAATTCTTAGAGACAAGGATGGGGAAATTTCCTAGAGAGACCAGTCCTTGGAGTAGGACATGATACTTGCTACAGCAGAAGGGCAGCCAAAAAAAATGTCCTCAAGGAGATAGGTAGACAAGTGGCCTGCAAGCAACAATGGTCTCAAGCATAGGAATAATTGTGAGGATGGCACAGGGCCACAAAATGCTTCATTCTTTTGTACGCAGGGTCCCTATACATAGTGGCTGACGTACTGGCATCTGAAAATAACAACATAGGACTAACAGAATATCACACAAAGTATCTAGGAATACTGTGTGAACACAGTTGATGTAATTGGAGGATCCCACTTTAGTAAATAAAATGCGTTCTTCCAGTGTGAATATAGAAGCATGCAAAAAAAATAGAAAGCACACTAAAAGCTCAAAAAAATTAAAAATGAAACAAACTCACTGCCAGCAAGTCAATTCTGACCTTTAACAAGACTGTAGGCCTGGGTAGATCTGCCCTCGCGGATTTCCAAAACTGTAACTTCTTACTGGAGTAGAAAGCCTCGTCTTTTGCTCTCCCTCTGTCTCTTTTGCTCTCTCTCTGTCTGTCTGTCTGTCTGTCTTTCTCTCTCTCTCTGAGTGTCTAGTAGTTTCAAACATAATAACTTGCAGTTAACCATCCAATATACAACCACGATGCAACCCAGATGCCTGTGATGGATGGATAATACAAATATACTACAAATTTATTTATATCTAGTCTTTAACATAGCATCATACATTGTAAACTTTAAAAGGAAATAACACAACTGTTAATGTATAAACATGCTTTATTCTTTAGCATTCAGCTGCACGTTTGTCATACTGTGATGTCTTGCATGCTATCATGTTGTGGAAATAAATTGAACTGATCATCAGTGATGGAAAGATTTCAGTGTCTCTAGACTAAGTAAAATTAGAAAGAGAGTCCTACATAACTACATATGAAAATTGGCCAGTGAAAACTTTATTGCTCGGTGCTGGCAGTTGAGTCTTCCAGGTTGGACGGTGCACAAACCATAATGGCAACAAGAATGGACTCAGGCAAGCCGGTGACCGGGAGGGTGGCCTGCGTCAGGCAGCGTTATTTGCAACTTTACACAGGCCCTCCTTCAGTTGAAACGGCCTAGACGGCAAATGCCCACAAGAGCAATGGGTTTGATTCTGTGCCTGATGATGTAACTATACTTCACTAAATAAATAAATTGATAACATTCTAAAAAAAAGGACAAAGGCAAACTTTGTTAACATTAAATATGTGTTGGAGGAAGAGTGAAAGGAAAGTCAAAGGACCCCAAGTGCTGTTTACTTTCCAAAGGCCTCTTCTCGCTTCCCAGTGAAGTGGGGAGAAGAGTTTCTCCTTATACAAATGTTGTGATCCTTATGAATGAAAAGTACGTGAACATCAGTGGCAAGCACCATGTGTTATTATTGAAAAGTTTATTCTAAAAATGAATTGAGGGGGAATATAACTTCAGCGTTCACCCTGGCCTACTGCCATCTATTTGACGTTCAAAGAATCAGAGTAGTTGTTGGAAACCCAAAGCCAAACTTATTGCCTTGAGTCAATTCTGATTCATCACATCCTGCTAATGCTTCATAATCTTTATGCTTCTCCAGTAGGTTTCTAATAGGACTATCTGGATTAATGAATAAAGATTATTGGCAATATGATATTTTCTTATACTTTTAATTACTATAATTCAAAATGAATAAATATAAAATATAATCATGACACTCTATTGCACTGTTTTGTGCTGGAATAATTTTATGCTAACCATGAGTATGAGAGCCCTGGTGGCCTGGTGGCTTATGACTTGGGCTGCTAACTGCAAGATTAGCCATTGGGAACCACCAGTCAGTCTGGTAGAAAGATGTGGCTTTCTGGCTTGTATAGTTTGCAGCCTCTGAAGCCCCCAAGGGAAGTTCTACTTCATCCTTATAGGGCAGCTAGGAATTCCAGTAGACTTAATGATACCGAGTTTGCTTTAATATTTATATAAATACTATCTGAGTGTTTACATTAAATATTCTCCTTTTTTTCATGAGAATTAAAGCTATATCTGAAAAGAGTCCCCAAATAGTTGTGTAGCCATAAAACTTTTACCAGGATGTGTGGATGTATATGTTTAAATTGTACTTTGAGTGAAAATTTACAGGGTAAACCAGTTTTCCATTCAGTCATTTATACTTATTTTGTTTCTAAACCCTAGTTGCAATTCACGCAATGAATAGAATTCTTTTATGCAGATTCCCTGAATCCATTTGTTCTTAAAATTCTGGAACATTTCACAAATTGGGTGTCATTATCATACAAGGACATGCAAATCTTCTCAGTATAGTTTCTATTTTAGCACAGGTGAAGTCAAAGCAAGAACAATCAATGAGTTTTTATTTGACATAAAAACAAAATTAATTATTGAAGATCTGGAGAGTTAATGTATGTAGTACATCCCAATGATTAATATAATTTCATCACTGGAATTGTTACTTTTCTGAGTACTAAACAAAAATGCACTTTGAAATTATATGGCTTACCAAACCAATGAAAATTATTTTCCACTTGCATTGCTTTCTGGTAAAGTGGTAAGTGATCATGAAAACCAAATACTGAGGTCAAAATTAATTTAATTTCATTTAAGGATTTTTCAGTTGTATAATTGGGTATTAATAGAACTGAGAATCAGTTTATAACTTGCAGTTATCTCTATTACCTTTAAAATGATTGATTATAAATTAAACTTACCATTAATTTATAATAAAAATATCATTTTAAACAAAGATACTATCAATTATGCCATATAGAAAAAGAGTTTCTATTTGAGATAACCTTTCTAGTACTTTTTTCCAATTAATAAAAATAACAAAAAGGTATTTCTAGTGCATTTATGTTTTTAAGTAAACTTTTTGTTTAGATATAACTTGCATGGATATTAAAAATATAAATAATTAAAATATCACAAACTGAACTCATTATTGTACATACTAGTGAGTTATGAGTTGAGCTTCCAACTGAGAGTCAGGAAGTTTGGAACATCCACCTGTCTGTTGATGATGAGACAATCAGCATTGTATAGATTTGCAGCCTTGGAAACTCTAGTGAGAAAGACTTCGCTGTTCTACAGGGTTCCTGTGAATTGGAATCAACTTGCAGTGTGATGTTAGTAAGGAAATACTCATGAATGGCACAAATGGTTAAGCGATTGACTTCTATAAGAAAGACTAGTGGCTCCAATCCTCATAAAGGTATCTAGAAGAAAGGCCGGGAGGTCTCATCCCTATGGAGTGCAGTGCTTCCAGGATGCACAGGAGGTCATCATGATTCAGAAACTGCTTATCTGTGTTTTCTTTGGGGGAGGTATGTAATGACCACCCAAGTCAAAAGCAACCGAATGTAGTCTGATATCCTCTCATAATCACTATTATTTTCTTCTATCCCAAAGTAAATCCTGTCTGACTTCGAACACCCTATCTATGATAGTAAGGTTTTGTGTCAGCTTGCTGGAAACAGGATCCTCTGATGATGTGATCTAAAATAACGTCATCTACTCTGGAGTGGGATCTTGTTTAAGTCAGCAGGCAGCTGTGGGAAGAAGAAGGTGGCTGCTACCCTCAATCAAGTCACAACCTTGCATCAAGTGAAAAGTCATTTTTATTTGGTGTATAGCCTACTCTTAAATACGAATGACCTGTGGGAGGCTGACCCCACTTCTGCTGGTTCTGAATGCTGTGCCTGGTTCATCGACCTTCACCCATATTGCATGCTTCTCTCAGGAGCTGTCAGTGTACTATGGAAATTGGATTTATTTGACTCTGCATCCCAAAGCCTATGGTTTTCCTGCTTTCTGATTGATCAGACCCTTCTCCGACAAGAGGGAAAATAAACCAGTTTAATATTTGACTCAAGGTCTTCCGCCAAACAGGACTTATTCAGTCAAGAAAGGGTGAGCCGTTGCTTTATGTGTATTGCTTTCTATATATACACATATAAATGTTGCTGCTTTTGTGTTTTTGGTGAACCCAGATATTGTTTTACACAATATCTTAGTTCTGCATGTTTTGAGGATTATGAAACAAAATTGAACCACATAGCATATTTCCCTTTGTGTCTAGGTCTTTACAGAACATTATTTTTGTGACATTTATCCAATTTGATGTAAGTAGCAGCTCATTAATTTTCACTATACTATTCCATTAGAGGAATATCCTTTAATCTATGTATCCATCCTTCTTTTGATGGATGGTGGATATTTTCAGTGTTTCACTGTAAATAATGAAACCAAATAGATAGTTTTGCAAAGTCCGTTTTTACACTGAACTATTTATGAAACTATAGACCTATCGTGGACATACATTCAAAATTAGTATATACTGGCACTTTTCAAAGCGGCTGAATCATCACATACAATCATTAGCCACAATATATGCAATTTGTAGCTACTCCAAATATTTGTCCATCACCTTCATTTTAGCCA